TATGGGTTTCGCATGATATTAGACAGAGTTAAAAAGAGTGAAATAAAAGACAGAGGTAAAGAAATTCTTCACAATGGAGCACAGAGACAAAAATTGAAAATGTGAAAAAGAAAGTTAAGAGGTAAGGAAGAAACAGCAAGAGGAAGATCTAGTGTACATCTAAGATGAAGTACAAAAAACAGTCTGAAATGAAGGAAAGAGCAAAAGGTCAGAACAATAGTTTAAGGTTTTCCAGAAGTGGCAAAAGACACTGCTCTTCGATTTAGGCAGCCCAATAAATCCCAAAACAAATATATAAATCCACACATGACTCATTATAGTCAAAATGCTGAACATCAAAGACAAAGAGATCTTAAAATCTTCCAGAAAGAAACAACAGTGTTTCAAACAGGTGACAGATTGATAGCTGGCTGACATCACAACCACTGAATAAAAATACTGAAAGAAATTAAATGCCAACCTAACATTCCAGATGTACCAAAAACATGTATTTCAAGAACAAGGGTTCAATAAAAATTTTTTCCAGATGAATAAAAATGGAGAAATTTTATTACCAACAGATCCTTATGAAATGAATTGCTGAAGGATGCACTTCAGGAAAAAAGGAAATTTTTTTTTTAAGAAGTAAGAAGGTCTGAGATGTAAGACAAAATGGTGAGCCAAAAAATAAAAGGTAAAATACGGCCTGTCTAAACAAATACTGAATGGGGAAACTAATAGTAATAGTACCTGTTTTATGAAGTTAAAAATTGAGAACTAAAGTACTCACAAAAAAAGCAGGTTAGTATGGTGGGGACAGTTCTAAAGAGGTTATTGTAACATTTTGTAGAAGGAGGAAGATAATGATTAAATTTTATAATTTAAGTTAAAAGAGAATGTTAAAAATTTTCAGATAATCATTAAAAATTAGAAACAAGTTGTTAAATAGGTAATATGTAACAACATACTGTTAAAGAGATACATAAACCAAAAAAGCCAAACTCACTGTCAATGAGTTGATTCTGACTCTTAGTGACCTCTATCAGGTTTCCAAGGCAGTAAATTTTTAAAAAGTAGATTGCCCCATCTTCCTTCTATGGAGCGGCTGGTGGGTTTGAACCACCAAACTTCTGGTCAGCAGTCAAATGCCTTAGGCACTGTACCTAACCACCAGAGCTCATTAAGAGATATATAAATAGGTGATAATATTATCAAGAGAACGACTAATATTAAATATAGGAAAGTGGTTATATCTAAGGGTAAAGGAAAAAAGAAAACAGTTGTCATCCAGTCGATTCTGACTTACAGAGACTCTATAGGACAGAGTAGAACTGCCCCCATAAGGTTTTTAAGGCTACAATATGTATGGAAGCAGACTGCCACATCTTTATCCTGTGGAGCCACTGGTGGGTTCAAACTACTGAACTTCTGGTTAGCAGCTGAGCACTTTAACAACCATGCCACCAGTGCTCCTTGAGGGTAAAGGAAAGGGGTACAATTTGGAAGAGACATGTGGGTCTTCTGGTGGTACAGTGCCTTAGTCATCTGACTGCTAACCAGAAGGGTGGCGGTTTAAATCTACCAGCCATTCCTCAGAAGGAAGACTGGGCAATCTACTTCTGTAGCAATACTGTCTCAGAAACCCAAGGAGGGGTTGCTATGACTTGGATCCGACTCCATGGCAATGAGTTTGGTTAGGTTTGGTTTTTGTGGGTCTTCAAAGATATTGGTAATATTTTATCTTATAAGATGGAAGTGGATTAAAAAAAAGGTAAATATGTTTATAAAAAGATAATATAAGGGAAAAAATTAACTGAAAGTAAAAACAGTATAAGAAAAAGAATTGCATCTTAAAAATGAGTATTTGACTCTGAATCCTATCACATCTTCGTCAATATCTACCTTTAAGCTATCTTAAACAATTTAAAAAAAAAAAAGTTTCCCTTTTCCTGTTCTACTGGTACTGAGTTTAGAAAATGTTGAGATGCCAACAGCACAACATAAAGCTTTTTCTGTAGGATGCAATGCCCGCTGGTATCTACTAAACATGTCAACATCTCAGATGCTTTACGTGTCTTTTTTCATTTAATCTTGACAACAGCATCTAATATATCTTATTTGGGAAAAAAAAAAAAAAAGATTGTTTCCAGAGACCAGTCAATGGCTTAGCTTATGTTACTGAAAAGAATGACATGAAACCCCCATTATGCTAAAAGCAAGAATAACTGAATTAATTATATTACCAGACAACTTAGGAAAAAAAAAAAAAATGTTTCTCAGCTAGGAGGAGGAAGAAAGAATTGCACATAATCTAAATTAAAAAAAAAAAAAATTGAATAAATTCATGTGAATGCCTTGAAAGGTATATTATCTAAGCAGGTTTAAATAACATTAAACGTTAAATAACATTCTTAGAGATATTGATTTTTCCCCAAAAAAGTAAGTTTATTATTTAAAAAGTACTTGTAATATTCACAAATTATTTTCAGAATCGGTTAAAATTACTTATGTGACATAATCACACAATATCATTGTTTTCAGAATGTAAATACTGGGTCAAAAATAATAAATGTATGTAGTATTTCCAATTCTTGCTGCTTTCTCAAGTAACACACTTTTCCCTTGACCTTGTGGTATCATCAAAGAGTGACAGCAACATCAGCCTTCTTTTGGAATTGGCTTAAATGGACAGATTTAAACCAATTGAAACAAAAATGTCCTAGGGTCTCTCGAGAGCTAGGCAGGGAAAATTTCAGATTTTCTCCTGTATTTTTTCTTCTAAAACATGATTTATTTCCACTTAGTAAATCTAAAGTATTTAACTGTTTTATATTTAACTTAAATGATTAAAAAATTGTTTTATGCTCTTTTGAAATAAGACAGAATGAGAGACAAAAGCACCTATCATGTTTATAAGTATACCCTATGCATAAAATATAAACTTCAATTTGTTTAATAGTGTACATAAATGAAGTAAAAATGTATATATCTAGTATAGTTTTTGTAGGATATTCAATGAATATAGTATATATTATATGAAAAAAGAAATTCTTCACACTGCCTTCTGAAAAGCTTTTAGGATTTTGCTATTGAAATTAGAATAAGCAAACCCCTCCCCCAAAACAACAAATCATAAATTCAAACTCAGTTTCTCCCCATTAATTATCTTGGGCAGGGGGCAAAAACTATTTAATTTTACACTTCCTTAAATTCTCTAATCAGAGCAAAACCGATCCCTAGAGTCTCCTCTCCCCACAAGACAAATTAGCAAATTTAGACACAAAAGAGAAAATCAATGTAATCAATTAAATGTAAAATATTTCCCAGACTTAATGTCTGAGCTGTACAACATTGACCAATGACCCAAATAAACTTGGGGCACATGCTTTTCCATCCCAAGAGCTATCTGGATAAAGGAAGGCCAACAACCTTCGTGTTACCTCCCTCACGACACACCATCCCATCACTGAATAATAGAAGACAAACACTGACCTAGTTTAGAAGGGTAGATGAAAACAGGATACATGACAACGGCAAGGAAACCATGGTAACAAGAAGAGAGGACTGTTTTGCTTACTTTATTTTGGTCAGAATAATCAGCAAGCTGAGCCTTTAGCTCTATAATCTCAGCCTCTAACAGACGGATTACTTCTTCATAGTCCATTTCCATTCCACGCGCCTGCCTCTGTGCAGCTTCAGCAAGGTGAAGCCGACTGCGTAGGGCTCTTGTTTCTTCAACCACAGCTTTGGCTTCCTAAAGATTACAATGTCATTTAAAAAAGAAAGAAAGAAAAAAACAGACAAAAACACATCTGAAGTTTTACTTCTAAAAAACTTCATGTAAGTTCTTCACTTCATAATTTGAAAATCAGTATTTGTGTTAGTTTATTTTGTGGAATTGCTGCCTAATACCAATTTTCCTTTGTAGATGTCTTGGGTACTTTTCAGTATGGAATTTCTAACTTCATGTGCCTACTATAACATTTTCAAAATAAGGAAAGGAGAAGAAAATTGAAAATGGCAAGCAGAAGAATAAGAACTGGTTCAAATGATAAAAAGATCAGACTACTTAAAACTCAAGTAGGTGCTAGAACTCATGCCCTAGGTGGGATCCTGCAGCCTCACCAGATGCTGTAAGAGGTTTACAGAATATTGTGGGCCTTCTCTGTGGACTCAGCTTGAGGGGCCAAAGCTTTTTCTCATAGACATCGGTCTAACTGCAACTCCTCCTTTTTGATTTAGACCAAAAGATAGAATCCAGTAGCAAAGTATGTAGCTCTGTCTGTAGGACACAATGCCCACAAGGTATTTATTAAACATGTTCCATCTCAGATGCTTTATGTGGCTTTTCTTACTTAATTTTTACAAGAACATTGAGGAAATGGTATTATTAAAAACCATTTAACGCATGAGCAAACAGACTCAGGAGGTCCTGTAACCTGTCCAAAGACACACAGTACCAGAATTTGAACCTAGGTCTGCCTGGCTCCAACATTAATACTTTTTATCCCCCACTTTATTCTGCATCTAAATGACAAAAACCCCCACCATGTACACTAGCTACACCTTCCACCTTAGGAAGAGGACACCCACTACTGTGAGTTGATTCTGACTCACAGTGACCCTATAGGGCAGAGTAGAACTACTCCATAGGGTTTCCAAGTCTGTAGATCTTTATGGAAGCAAACTGCCACATCTGTTCCCTATGGTGTGGTTGGTGGGTTTGAAGAGCCTTTTGGCTAGCAGCTGAGTGCTTTAACCACTGTACTACTAGGGCACCTTAGGAAGAGGATAAATCAAAAAAACAAAAAAAAAACCTCACTGCCGTTGAGTCAGATCTGACACATAGTGACCTTTCCTTGGGTTTCTGAGGTGGTATCACTGCGGAAGTAGATTGCCCAACCTTCCTTCCAAGGAGTGGCTGGTGAGTTTGAACCGCAAGCCTTCTGGTTAGCAGTCAAATGCCTTAGGCACTACGGAAAGCCAAAATCACTTACTCTCTCAAAATGTGGATGTTACTGGGTCAAAGACAGTCCCCCAAGACAGTGATATAATTTAACATGGCAGGTATTATACTATAAACCACTTCTGTTTTCTTTACTTGATGCAGAAATCTCTCTTGCTTGGAATAGAACTTTCTGCTCCAATTGCCATGGCTAATATTCAACCATGGCTATTTTAATTTTCTTGGAGCTGCTATAGGACACTTGCTCTTGTTTGAGCCTAACTATATTTGAAGTACAGGAAAGGATTAGGAATACAGACATATTCTTAAGGGTCTATTTTTCATTCATACATTCAATAAATAGTTATTAAATGCTTATGTGTGAGGTTCTGTTCCAGGTACTAGGGATACAAAACTGAATAAAACTGACAAAAAGACTCTCCCCACCATCAGAACTTACATTCTAGTTTGGGGAGACAGACAATACGTTAGGGAGGGACTCTCAGGGAAGAACTCACTCAAGTGATATTTGATTAGAGATCTTTAGGAGGATTGGAGGCATGAAGGTTTCCAAGGAGAAGCTTTCTGAACAGAGATGATAGTTTGTGCAAAGGTCCTGAGGTAGGATGACACCTTACATTTATAGAGAACAGCAAGAAGGACAGTGGGGCAGGTGCACAGAATAGTAGGTATCAGGATGAAGGGAGTAGTAGGACATGAGATCTGAGTGGTAACAAGAATGACTGTGAGGGTAGGGTGGAGTGCAGTACTTTCTAGACCACTGTAAGGACTTTGGGTTTTACTCCGGGTGAGATGGGAAGTCCTTGGAGGGTTCTGAGCAGAGGAGTGATATGATCTGTCCTAAAATTTAAGAGGATTATTTTTGTTTCTGTATTGAGAACAGACTAAAATTGTGTGCAAGGTGAAAACAGGGAAAAGAGAAAGAGGGAAGGGAAAAAGTGACTGTTGTTTGGACAAGATGACAGTGGTGGAGGTGGTGTGAATTGGTTAGATTCTAAACACTGTTTGAAAGTAGAGCTATTGGGATAATTTATCATCATTAACAACATTAACTTAGTAACTACTGCATCTAGAGAACCATGGTATGTGATAAAAATTCAAAGGGGCTAAAGGGTATCTTCTCTTTTTCTGGCTCAACTTAGAAGGTTAAATATGACTTCAATAAGTCGAGGAGAGGAGGGTATGTCAGACAAAAGAACAACATGAACAAAGGAAGAGAGGCAAGAAGAAATGTGGCACATTTGAGAAATGAGACGAGACCAACTTAAATGGAGTAGAGGGTTCCTACAGGAGAGTAATAGGATAAAAAAGGTTGAAGAGAGGGAGGGAAGGGGTCAGGCTCTGGTAGAAATGACATGACAGGCTGAAAGTTTATATCTGGGGAGGTATTGAAGCTTGAGAAGAGAATGATAGGAGAACACAGTGCTTGAGAAAGCTTAATCTGGCAGTGGGTGCAACAAGGATAAATAGAGCCAACCAGCTGCCCACTATACTTTTAAAGCAAAGAACTTTATCTCATTATATCTGAAGGTAATTGTCTTATAATAAAAGGGCACTTTTAGAAAGAATTATCTGAGGTAAGCAAAGGACATCTATTTAGCCAACCAGACCACTCTTTTTAACCTAGGTGACCAATAGAGTCAGCAGTGTCCTAGCCTGTTCACTGTCATATCAGACTGTTATGTGCATACACAGACAATGCCTTCCTAGGTGCTGGCACCTCTCTAGGTATTTCACATGATCAACTCAGCTAATCTGCATGCTGCTGTGCAAGGTATGTCTTATTACTATCTACCATTTTATACACAGGAAACTAAAACACAGAATTATTAACTTGTTCAAGATCACAAACCTAGTAA